TTAAATACTTGATTGTATAATTGTATAATGTTATTATTCCTGAGTTAATGAAATCAATTACAAACTATTATAATAAACCCTGGACTTGAAATAATAATTAACCTGGATGATTGGAAATAATGTTTAAAGTTGAAGAAATTAAAAGATGATTAATGGATGAATTTTAATACTAAGGATGATGACGAACTTGAAAGATATTGGAATAAAATAAATGAAAGGTCTGATTCCCTTTTTAAAATAATTGAATCAGTGGTACCTTCTAAAATAATGAAATAACAGTTTTACCTTCGGGAAAAGACTATAAACTCCTTAAAAGAACCGTAAAGTCACACTCTACTTAGGTGGTTCTTGAGAAAGTCAGAACCACTGGTGACAACACCACCAAGTGACAAATGTATTAGAAAGAATATTGATATTACTTATCAAAAAAATATTATAGAATTAAAAAATTTACTTTCTGTTATATGTGAAACAGTTTCTATAACAATAGACTTGTAGACATCCCATACTAATATAGATATATTGATGTAACTCTTCAATAGTTGACATCTAATTTTGAAATCTGTGATGTATTATTAACTATTGAATAGTTTAACTATCCACATACAAGTAAACAAATTCAAGAATATTTAAATGTAAAAATTAAAAAATTTGAATTAACTAAAAAAGTTGTTTATACAATAACTGATAATATAACAATATGAAAAAAGCAATTAAAATTTGGAATAATGTGTAATGTTTACCTTGTACTATATATATACTTCAATTTATAATTATTCAGGTTTTAAAAATTATAAATCAATATATTAAACAAATTCAAAAGTTCATTAATTTTTTTTAATCTTCAAAGTAGTATCAATATCTTGACAAATACAAATTGATTTAGCAAACTGTAACATAACTAGTACAAAACCTATTTAAATTTATAATTTTAAAAATATATTTAAAAACTTATCTGAAAAAGAAGAAACTGATGAGATGGAAACCTATGAAAAAGAAATAATTATTTTACACACAATTATAGATATAAAAACCTGTTGAAATTTCTTTTATCAATCTTAACAAAAGTTTTTAAAATTATAATTGAGTGACTTTCTGTAACTTTACTTCTACAAAAAGAAAATAGTGCTAAAAAAGATTTTACTCAATTAAATCACCTTATGTTTAAAAATTATAAATGGAAATTATTAAAGAAAATTAATAAAAACATTTAAACCATTTGATAAGCTAATAACTTATTTTAGTGATATTTAATATACCATTCTTTTAGTTATTAATTTAAGTATTAAAGCATTAAAGTTTGAATATACTGATTATACTATAAATAAATCTGATAAATTTATTGATTTTGATAAATAATAGTTATTAATTTTATAAAATATTACATATCGTTAACTTGTTGTAAACATTAATAATTTAATATTTAATTTTGGTTCAAAATTTAGATAAAGATTTTAATGAAGATTTTAGTGATAAAAATGATTATATAGAAAGATCATTCTTACTTGTAACAATAATCTCAAGGTTTTAAGGAATTATTTATAATTCTTTATAATATTACTGACAAGTTTCAGAAGATATTAAATTAATGGCTACCTTATTAAAATTATGATTAAAATTAATGAATGCATGACCTGATGAAATACAAAAAAAAATAATTAATAAACTACATACTAAATTTAAAGTTTGACAAAATACAGTTGTAGCTAATGAGTCAAAAACATATTATGAAGAAATTGCAACTCCTTGTTTTATGAAAAAGATATTTAATATTAATAATAATAATAGTAATAATAATCAAAGTAATATAAATAAAATTGACAAATATTTAAATAAAACAGTTTTATTTAAATCAGCTGGTATTTATGGTTGGTGACATATAAATCAATATACTTTTTTTATTTTAAGTAGAATAACCTATAAATACTTGTCAATTCTGACTACTTCAGTTCTAAGTGAATGACTTTTTTCTAATGTGAAAAATCAAATTATCTCAAAAAGAAATCAGTTATCAATTGAAGTAATAAGCAAATTAATATTTATTAAATGAAATAGTTTGTATTGCAAAATTTGAATATAAATAATGTAAAATACAAAAAATTGAATAATAAAATAAAATAGATTTATGTTAATTATAGTTTTATATATATATATATTTAATATTTGCTACTCAGATATTATTTAGATTATCCAGGTGGATGACTTTTTTAAACTAATCTAATTTCTACTCAGATAGTTTATAGTTAAATTATCAGGTGACCCAAATTGGATTTTTTTAGATAGGTCAGATTATTATATATAACATCTCTTGTTTTTAAGTTTATCATATATTGTTACTATATATGTTTACTAATTGACATAATAACTTTTACTTGTATAACTATTATTTTTTTTATAAAATTCAAGAATAATTTAAAGAAATATATAAAGTTTTATATTATTAAATCATTTTTTAAAAATTCTTAGTAAAATTAGATTATAAAAAATAAATTTTTTTTTAATAACAAAAATACTTATATTAACTTTAATAAAGTTTTATAAATATTACATTTGTGTAAAAATTTAATAGATATTGGATAAGAATAAAGACAATAAGTATTCTCGAGTATATAATATTAAATAATAAAAAACTTTACAAATGTAAAGTAAAAAGTTACAAGACTTGAAAAAGCTTGTAATTTAAGAGTTAAGTAAGATTTTATTAAAATTTCAACTATAATTAAAAATTTAGTTATGGTTATAAAAAAAAATTAACAATTATACAAAAATCATTATAATGTGACAATTGAATGGATATATATACCAATGCAAAAAAAAAAAAAACTTTCACAGAAAAGCAAGTTCTATAATTTTTAGATGAATCAAATAAAAGAAGAAATTGTTGATCAAGAAAAATTATTACAATATATTGACCACTTATCTTCAAATACAAGATCCACAGTTATTTCAAATTTAAATAATAAAAAATTATAGTTTAAATTTAGATTTAGAAATTTTTAATAATAATATAGATTATATAATTGATAGTAATGATAATTTTTCAAAAGAAAGTAATAAGAAAATTTCAAGATGAAAAATTGAATAATGAAAATAATAATAGTGTTGGTAATTTTAATTGAAATTTAAATGATTTAATGATTGATAATAATGATTAATTATAAATATTATAGATATTATGGTGATATAGGCAATATCATTTTAATAAAATGATAAAAATACTTAATTACTAATAATAAATAATAACTTTATAAAAAAATTATATAAACTTTTGACATTGTCATTTGAGAATCTAAATGTCTAAACATTTAAATATATTTTGACTTTTGTTATTGTCTAAACTTCATAGTTTCATCAGGCAACTATAATTATTATATAATCACATTATCTCACAGAGCTCTTTGAGAAATTTGATAATTGACTCTAAAAGAATTACTAAATATAAGTACTAAAAAGTGAAAAAATGATATTAGTTAAAAAGATAGAATGATAAAAAAGTTATCTATAAGTTAAACTCTTGTTAATTAATGAACTATTTATCTTTCTTCATTACAAGTTTCAAGTAACATTGCAACAATAATACATTGTTGAATTTCATGATCAGTAACATCCCTTCCATTTGATATTAAATATCTAAATACTATAAGTTGTACAACTTTATCTCCACTTTCCACTGCTTTTTCAAAGAATTCAAATGCTTTAGTTTGATTTTCTTCAATACCATTACTATAAAAATAACATAATGCAAGATTGAATTGTGCATCTACGTGCTTTTGTTTAGTAACTATTTCATAAATACTTTTTTTTTATCAATTTCAGTTTTTATTTCATTTTGATAAAAAACTGTAAGCTTATATTGTGTAATTAGATTTTTATTTTCTGCTGTTTTCTTAAAAATATTAAACATTTCAATTTCATTTTTTTCAATACCAATTCTATTTTGATAATATACAATAGTGGCCATAAGTATCTGATCCTCCCTAATTTCCTTCACGGTGTTGACCCTGTTTCTTTATTTTTTTTATATATATATATTTTTATTATAACATATTTTATTATTATTATTTTATTATTATATTAGTATTTCATATAT